ACTCTCGTATCAAACACATGGAGATTGATCTATTTTTTGTGAGAGAGAAAGTTCAACTGAAACAACTACAAGTGTTCCACATTCCTGCTGAATATCAACTGGCTGATGTTCTCACAAAACCCTTGTCTGCTTCATCTTTTATTAATTTGAGAAACAAACTTAGTGTCATTGCATCTCCAGCAAAGTCACACTAAGTTTGAGGGGGGGAATGTTAGATATACCATTCGGATTGCATTAGTTATGTTTAGTTAGTTAGTTAGTTTCAGTTGAACTGTAACCTCTATAAATACATCCTGTAATCATCATTTCAGTTTAATGAGAATATACTTCTTCCTCATTCATCCTATCTGAACTTCTATTAATAAGGCTCATCGGTCAACATTTTCACCAAACACGTAATTTTAGCTCTCGTGATGAATTGTGTAATAATTAAATAAGTCAAATTAAATTTGTTTTTCTGACTGAATTGGCTTGAATTACTGTAGATAGAGGATCATTTTAAATATTTTTCATAAAAAATATTTTTTTATTAATAAAATATACTTAAAAGATAGACTATTTTTCTACTAAAAACAAAAGGGATTCTTCAATCAAGTAGCACTATTATTTCTGATCAATACAAAGATCATGTTTTTTAGTCTAAAATATACTATCACTGTTCTAAGATGTCTTCAACAGAATTGATGGGGAGATTATATATTCCATAACAAAACCTGTCAAATAACTTAATATTTGAAAACTTATTTCTGTTGAAGTTTGAAAACTAATCATTGTTCTAAGATGTCTTCTGGTAATTTATTACCAATATGTGTTGAAGCCACCCCCTAAATAAGGAGAACAATGAGATAGATTGCATTCAACACCAATAAACATTAACGATTATACCCTATACTTTCAATAAAATTACTAACCCATTAGTCCAAAATCTGTGAGGGTGAGTAGTGGATCTGGTTGAAAGATCCAGCTAGCAATAGCAACCGCCAGCCTCCTCCTCTTTGGAACTGCCTGCAGAGTTTGCTGGTTTTCCCCCGCCCGATTGATTCTGGTGCCATCTCTCTGCTGGTGGCCATCGTCGCTGAAAAAGAGAGCCCCAACTTCGGCATCCCCGTCCCAAGATCGGGAAAGTTGTTGGTGAGACACCTAGTCGTGACTCGTGAGCTGATCGGCCAGTGCGGTCTTCGGCGTCTTTCTGTGTCAAAGTCGGAAGAGTCTATTGCCCTCCATTGATGTCTCTGAAGTGGATGCAACACAGATAGCTGTCAAGTCGCCCTATGTTCTGCCTCATCCATGCCATATCGCATCCTGAAATAGAGAACTGATAGAGAGCAGGAAGAGCATGCGGCGGGGACGGGCTTGAACCCACCTTCTGTGGGCTGGCTTAGTTATTTTAATTAATTCCTTTAGTTATTTTCTTTTATTATGTTTCCTATTTTATTTTGTTGCCTAGTATGATTTAATTAGGACTTCTATTAGAATTAGAGGTTTCCTATTCTATTTAGTTTCCTAGAATGGTTTAATAAGGACTTCTATTCTTATTAGAATTAGAGGTTTCCTATTCTATTTAGTTTCCTATTATGATTTAACTAGGATTCCTATTCTTGTTAGACTTAGAGGGTTATTTAAACCCCTAAGGAGGGCTGTTGGAATAATCTATGAATAAAATTGGAGTTTATCCTTTTGGCTCTGGGCAACGGTTTCTATCGTTGACTATTCTGGGCAACGGTTTATCCCTTTGATTTTTATTTTCTGTTTTCATCAAGAACCGCCTCCAACTGTCGTGAGGTCCTACGGCTTGGAGCCTTGGACTGCTTTGATGATTCCAGATGAAATCGGAGATTTTATAACCAAGACCGTGGTATAAAAAACCGGGCAGTGAATTACCAAGAACAACTATTAGATTTGTTATTATAGCAGTAGGGTCAGGACTCAGGAGCTAACCACTGAAATTACACAATAAATCATACAGGAGTATAACAAACTGAACCTGAAAATCATTGTCTAGGTTGGAGGAGACGAGGCCGGTTACAAAACACATGACCTTCGGCCCTCACAAACCCAGCTATTAGAAGACTTATGCTCGCCCATATCATAGAAACAATACATTCCAGGGATTACTGGAGACTCTCCTTTGTGAGATATATATGCGCCCAGTGAATTTTTGAATGTAGGCATTTTGGATTCAATTTTGCTATAGGTACCCCAAATTTACCCCATTTCCTACCCCATATAAAAACCCTCTCCCCTCCCCCACTTTTCTTCTCCCCCTCCCCCACTTTTCTTCACCTTCCCTCTCTCTCCTCCCTCTTTTCTTTTTACGCAGCCCCCTCCCCCCATCTTCTCCCCTTTCTTTCTCTTTTCTCCAAATCTTGATTTCTTCTCCATTTCAACATCTCTCCATCAAGTCTTCCCATTTTTACAATCTTTTCTCCCTCCAAGCTTCTTCTCCTACTTCTCGCCTCTTCTGCTTTTTTTTTTTCGTTTCAAATGCAAGAGCTACAGTAGATCTGACGAAGGGGAGAGCTGGGTGACGTTGGATAGCTTGACATGGGGAGACAACGACGAAAGTGCAGACCAAGAAGCTTTGAATGACTTGAGAAGATCTACTTTTCTTGATTATTTTCTTGATTTTTTGGTGTGTTTTCGAAAAAAAGGGTTGTCTGTCTGACAGACAACTGTAAGTAAGTGCAGTGTCTATATTTGTTAGTAAGACTAGTGAAGTTGTCTGTCATTTGATCGTTAGTTGTCTGTATTTGTTTCGAGTTGTCTGTCATGTTGTTGTGAGAAGTCTGTAAGAGTCGTGAAGTTGTTTGTCTGTCTGTAATTGATGGTTAATTATCTGTATTTGTTTTGAGTTGTCTTTATTTGATTGTGAGTTGTCTGTATTTTGTGATGTTTATTTTTTGAGATGTAATTAGTATAACGAGGCAGACATTAACTATACACATCCAGACAATAAGTATACACATACAAACATTACTTTATTGTGAATTACCATGTTGGAATATGTTTCATAAAGAAGACAGACAATACGTATAACTAGACAGACAATAGAGATAACCAGATAGACATTATTTTCACCACAAATTACATACAACTCACAATGAAATGACAAACAACTAAGTATGAGTTACAGACAACTCACAAACAAATGACAAACAATTAAATATCAATTACAGACATTTATTTTTCAAATGACAGACAATTTCAAGACTCTAACAGACACTGCACTTGCAAGTTGTCTGTCTGACAGACAACCCTTTATATTTCGAAAATACATCAAAAATGAAGAAAACAAAATCAAGAAAAGAAGATTTGCCGCTCAAGTTATTCAAATCTTCTTGGTTTGCCTTCGTCGTTGTCTTCCCTTGAGGTTGCATCCGAAATATCAACCAACGTAGGCCCGCCGTCGGCAACCGGCGTAGACCCACCGTCGGCAACCGGCGTAGACCCGCCGTCAGCAACGTCACCGGTTGAAGTGGAGATAAGCAGGAGAAGATTTAAGGTTGGAAGGGGGAAAAATGGTAAAAATGGGAAAGATTTTGAGATGGAGAAGAAAGGGGAAGGGAGGGGGAGAAGAGGAGAGGGAGGGAGGAAGAGAGGTGGGGTGCAGGAGAGAGGAAGGGGGAGAAGAAAAGTGGGGGTGAGTTTTTATATGGGGTACAATTGGGGTAGGGTTTGGGGTACCTATAGCAAAATTGTTTTGGATTTGAACTTCGTATACTCCGTATTTTTTTCGACAATCAAAAACCAAAGGTCAATAAGTCTCTGACACCGTTCACATTAATCAAGAATAGATCTGTGAGATATTATGGCGGAATTAGCATGCCAAGGTGCAGCGGGAATAGACACTTAAATGACCACTCAACACAAATTTTCGTATTTAATGCAGCTGGCCCACAAAATCGACTCGACCCTTTTTTCGCCCGTATCTTTTGGCGTGAAATGGACTCATTTTCCTCCTCCTTTTGTATATAGTAACACAACTAAATAAATAAATGAATGAATGAATGAATAAATATGTGGAGTGAATGTCAACGAAACTATAAATTTATGGGTGATTTCCCAAAGTAGGAGTAATTGGAGTTTGAAATTCCAAAATAGGACTACTATGTATTTATTGCCGAAATAGGACTAACATGACATTATTTATTGCCATCTTGTAGGCGTGATTGCCAAATAGTTGCAGTACAGTGCATTTAACATGACAATATTTATTGTAATTAATGGCAGTATTTTTCAATCATGACGGTATTTTGCATACATGGCAGTAACAACTCATATTTTGTGAAGAAAAACACGGTAGTCCTATTTGGGAAATCCAAACCTCATTTACTCCTATTTAGGGCAATTTCCCTGAATTTATTGTGTTTTAAGTTTTAACCTTGTCTTTTTGTGGGGGCAAAAAGCATACTCTTTTATTTTTGGAAGAAATACAACTAAATGTGCAATTTGTGTCACTTGTAAGTATTACTTTTAATTATTAAAAAAAAAAACTATTCCCGCCACCCTCCTCCAAATCACTTCCCCACTGACTGTTTGCATATTTCACTGCTGCTGCCACATCTGGACTGTCGTGTCACCACCTTGTCACCGGCATAACGTCCTCTGTCTCCATTACCCCTAGTCACTTCCCTGCCCAATCCTAAACACAGAACTGGAAGAAGCCCCGGCAGTGACCCAACCTCAGTGACATCGACCCTATTCTGGAAGAAGAGGCAGCCCAAAATAACTCAACACCAAATACAAAACTGTTGAGTAGTGACCTAACCACATTGACCCGGATCCCAATCCATAAAAGGATTCCAAGGTTGTAGCAGAAAAGTAAATTGTGCAATCCGTACTCTTAGGTTTTAGCTTCGTGTTGATGAGCACAAAACAATATCATGTGTGTGGTGTATGTTTCCCTCTCTCTCTCTCTCTATATGATATTCAGCAAGCTATACTCTTCTTGCAGCATTGACTAAGAATAGACTTTTGTGGGTATTTTCTTCAACCTCTAGGGATATGCTGCTGGAGGTTGCATCCCAGGTCCACAAAAGAATGTGGAAAAACAATTTCTCAAAAAGTACTGGGCTAAGTGGAGAGCAAGGCACACTGGTCGTTGGTACACTGTCCATTTCTTAATGAATTTCGACCAACTTATGATTCATAATACTATTATTATATGACGATGAACTTCATTCTTAGACTAAAAGGTTACTCCGTCTTTTTAGGAAAGAAACTTACGCTTGTGCTTTTATATGTTTCAGTCGGGCAATGCCGCATATAAAGACATTTGTTCGTTACAGTGGTCAAAACATAGCGTAGGGTCCTGTTCAGATTCCCTCAAACTCGATTTGCTTCTAGTTATACTATGTAGTATTTATTTGTATATTTACTCTCAAGATGTTAACAGGTGGCTACTGCTTACATCTGCAAACCTCAGCAAAGCTGCCTGGGGAGCTCTTCAAAAAAACAATTCCCAGTTGATGATTCGATCATATGAGGTAGGTGAATCTACTTTACTCAATAGACGAGTTACCGATGTAATACAAAAAAACGTAAAAGTTTTTTAGTAATGTTTGCAATTTGGAAAGTGACAGGGAAAGAAAGAAAAACTGCCAAGGAAAATGATTTTTATGTTTCATTGTATCTTTAGAAGTACCAAGGAAAACAAGGTCTGATGAGCACATTTTAAGATTTTATATATGTGCTAATTTTTTCCATCATTTGCAATGGAGCCAAAGATTCATTATTTTTTGGCTTGAGATTATGATGGAATAAAGCAAAATGGTTCACTAAACTGTCTGCGCTTCTTTGTTATGAAGCAGCAGTCAGTCCATGCAATTTTGGACGGGATTTTCACTATGGGTCATCCGGAAACAGTCTCTCTGTGCTTTAGTACAGGGGTAATACTGCGTACATCCGACCCCCCTTACCCCACCGTAGGTGGGAGCCTTTGCGGCACTGGGGTAAATGAAAATGATATATGTGCTAATTGGAGGATGCATATACATGTGGACGATGCATATACATGTGGACGATTGATCTCGTTTCTTCCTTTTCTCTTTCTTTCTTTTATCTTTTTTTTAATTATCATTCTATGTTCTTATGTTATTTTCATCTTTTATTTTTCTTATGTTCTTTATCTCTTTTATCTTTTACTCCCTCAGTCTCAAATTGTGAGATACATTTACTATTCACTTAGTCAACATAAATCACTCTTAATCTTTTACTTTATTTATCAAAAGTTTATGAAGTTTGAATTATTTTTTGCAGGTTTTGTAGCGGTTTTAATGTAGCTTCTGAATATGTAAACTTTATTTTCTAAAACTAATTTGAGTGTTGACAGGGATCAATTTGTTTTATCGTCGGTCAAACATCGTAAACCGTAAAGTATCATACAAATTGGGATGGAGGGAGTATTTATCTTATGTTCTGATGTTATTTTTATCATATCCATTTTATCTTACCTTATCTTTTTTATTTTTCTTATCTTTCTTATCTTTCCTTTTCTTATCTTTGCTATGATATCATGGATCGTTTCATGTTAGCCGACCCCAAGATCTTTTGGGAATAAGGCTTAGATGTTGTTGTTGTATATATGTGCTAATTTTATAATAGAAATATATAAATTAATACTACTTATGAATTTGATCCTGTATCTAAATTAATTACAATTTTTCCTTCCAAAATTTCATGTTTTTTTTTTAATTTCGAGATTCAAACAGACCCTAAATGTTGTACCTGTGAAAAATGAACATGCATGCTTGATCTAATTATATTAAGCTGATATTGCGTGTGAAATGTTGTCAGCTTGGGGTGTTGTTTTTACCATCTGTCAAATGTGGAAGTGGATTTTCTTGTACAGATGATCACAGTAACCAGCTTGAGGTATATTTGTTTCTAAAGCTTGTCAGTTAGTATTTGCTTAACAAGGCTATATGGGTCACTTTTCTTAATCTTTAACCCCACAGAGAGAAAAATATGCTGCGGAGAAAGAGAAAAGGACTAAGCTTGTAACTTTAGCTTGGCAAGGAAAGATAGATACAGAGTGCACTGAAGTTATCAGATTGCCCTTACCGTATGAGCTTCCTCCTATACTCTACTCCCCTGAAGGTGAAACTCCGGTTCTACATTAGCTCCTCAAATCAGTATCTTTTTTTTTTTGTTTTACCGTCATTTGGTTACACGTTTACCTCTCTCTAAATGCAGATGTCCCTTGGTCATGGGATCGTAGTCATCCCAAAAAGGATATTTACGGCCAAGTTTGGCCAAGATAAAGGACTTTTTTACAGCATTTTTGTGGAAACGCCGTTTCAATCCGCTTCATTTTGCAGCGTTTTGAGTTCAAATGAGCTCAGCATTTTGACTAAATCGCAGACCAAACATGCCCAAAGCAAAACTCTGAACAAGTCCAGACAAATGTGTTTGGCCGCCAATGATTTTTCTTCTCCTTTCCTTTTACCAAGTAGTGGTTAACGATGTAATAAGTGATATATATTTTTAAATATAAACATGTAGATATAGTGATATACTCTTTAGAAACAACAGTGTGCATATTATTTAAATTACTTGTTTTTTTTGTTTTGTTTTTGGTCTCAACTTTAAAAAGCTTTTACTTACTACTGTTACTAGTATAATTACATTGACCAAAAACTTGATAGTCTTTTGGGGAGTTAACTTTAGGAGGTACCAAAAACTTGATAGTCTTTTGGGGAGTTAACTTTAGGAGGTACTACTATTAATGAATACCTGCGGCGCCAATAGGACCATTACTCTGATCGGAAGTATTTTATATTGGGAGAACTATCAAATAAGCACTTGAACTTACATAAAAAGTGCAAATAAGTCTAGTTTATTGATGAATTTTTTTAGGAGGCTCTGTGTGGCCGTCATCATTTGGGGCAGTTCCTTGTGGAATTTTTTGATGAAATTTTTTGAGCATCTTATTCATTAAGTCTAGTTTACTCATATCAAATTTCAGCTAAATATTCAATCGGGAAGGCACTCAAATTAATTTTTGAAGATAACTACGCAGTTAAACAGCGCAGTATATTTTAGAAAATCATTTGACTTTCTTCTCGGTTGAAGTTTTAGCTGAAATTTGGTATGGGTAAACTAGATTTAATGAAGAAGATGCTCAAAAAATTTCATCAAAAAATTCCACCAGAAACCGCCCCAAATGGTCGGACAGAGCCTCTTATAAAAGGGCTTATTTGCACTTTTTATGTAAGTTCGAGGGCTTATTTGATAGTTCTCCCTTTTATATTTGTCGTGAACAGCGCGTAGTAATAAATTGTGCTATTATAACATCATATCTTATTATAATGTTATCTATATGATATGATTATTAAAGTGGTAATATTACTTTGACTATAACAAACATTACTTTTTATATTAGTAATATAATATTACTAACTGTGCTAATAGGCTAAAGGGTCAAATAGGTCCCTGTACTCATATCAATAGCTCAATTGGATACCCGAACTAAAAAAAGGTCCAATCCAACCTCCAACCCTTCAAAATCGTTCAATTTTTTCGTTTAGCCGGTAAACTCCTGGTACTCAATTGAGCTATTGATATGAGTACAGGGACCTATTTGACCCTTTAGCCTTTGAAAAAATGAAAAAATTGAACGATTTTGAAGAGTTGGAGGATTGGATTGGACCTTTTTTTAGTTCGGGTACCCAATTGAGCTATTGATATGAGTACATGGACCTATTTGACCCTTTAGCCGTGCTAATAATATGTTACTTTATCGAAGTGAAATATTCATGGGGACAAAGCCACAAAGGTAGTACTGTAGTTGTATTGATAAAAGAATAACATTTACACTTGAAGTCTTGAACCATACATAAATACATTTACTTTAGGAATTTTCTATTTGTACTCTATATTTTTAGGTCTTAAACATGTATGGTGTAATTTCTTTTCCATTTTCATTTTAATAGTATATATAGACAAAATATTGTTAAGTGAAAGTTACTACTTACTACCTCCAATCTCCATCAAAAATTAATATTGATGGTTCATTTGTGCACATAGAATAGGAAAATGAGATACAATACCTAAAGTAAAATTATAATGACAAAGTTGTAGATTTAAGTAAAAAGAGTAAAGTATGAATCGTAGGTAGGATAGATTGTCAAAAATGAGACGTAATCTTTTTTTTATGGAACAGTTCAGAAAGAAAATATGTGAATATTATTTTGGAACGGTAGGAGTATTTGTATTGTCTCAAAAGCTAGTTTTTCCTATAAATATACACCTACAATTTGGTTAAAATTCATACTTCCGAGGTAGAAAATAAACATAAGAGGAGTAAAAAAGCCTTGAACGGTTAGCAATTCTATAATCATATCCTAATTTATGTACGTACTATTGTGTAATGCCTCTCTTCCCTCTCTCAAACTGCATAAAATGCAAAGGAATGAAATCCTCACCTTGGGAGCTTTTCGTGGTTGTCCACCTCTACTTCCCAATTTTCATCCCTCTTTCTTTCTTTCCTTTCTTTCTGCTTTCCAGAAAATGATCCAAATGGTATCATTCTCTCTTGGAGTCGACCCACCATCTATCTCTATCTCCTAATTATTTTTGTTTTCCTCCCATTCTATTGCATCCATGCCTGATTCTTTTCAAGAAAATTTGTTGGTTCCTGTCATGTTTGCACTTCCTGCTCTTTGAGAAGGTAATTTTGAAACTTTGCGTAAAAATATTAAAATCTTAGAAGAATTCTAAATGAATTGCTGATTGCAGACTTTTATCCGTTTTGATAGGCAGAGAAGTGTCTACTACGATGAAGGGGTCTTTCAAAGCTGGATTCAAATACATCTCTAACATTTTTGGTAATACCCTTAATTGAATTTGTCTTTTCTTGTATAAATTTATGCTCTTTTTTGCATTTTTGAATTCATGGTATTTAACATTAGTGAAGGATCGTGAGATTGAGATTGAAATTGGAGGACCAACAGATGTTAAGCATGTTGCACACATTGGGTGGGATGGTCAAGCTGGTAATGCACCTACTTGGGTATGCCTATATGCCTATTTATCTTTGTTTACTACATACAGATAGGTATTAGGTAAGATAATTGATCTAACCATTTTCCCTTTCCTCTTTGTATGAATTGTAGATGAATGAATTCAAGGCAGGGCCTGAATTTATGTCTCCAAAAACGGGTAATTCCGCCCATGGGCTTTCTCAATGGTCTTCTCAAGGTGATTTTTCTTCCCTGTCTTACATATATATATTGTTCACTTTCATATAATCTGATTATGGAAGGGACTATTTGATATTAGTTAGAAAATTCCGGGCTTAACTCAACCCTAAAAGAGATGATTCTCTATTCTAGAACTTGCTAGGTTCTACTTGGGCGGTTGAGGGGCACCTAGCACCCAGACACCGACTAGGCCGATCAGTCCTCCACAGTGAGAGGCCGCCTAGCGCCTAGCTGCCGATAAATTGGACCGACTAGCCCAATTTTTAGAACAATGAGATTATTACAATCTGAGAATAAACCAAGCCAAACCAATTCAAATAATAATTAACTAAGCATTGTACAATTTCGTCTTGTTAACGATTTTGATGAGTAAACTCTTTGCACTTAGACGTATAGAAGTCCTTCCAGTATGATGCTTCATTCGCAACCAAGCCAACATATTAAAGGATCTAATCTCACATCAAATAACTATATGGTTATGCTAAGTAGCCAAATGTGGCATATTTGACTATTACGTTATACTACGGTATATGTTTGGATGAGGTGTTGAGGGTTGTTAGTAATGAATGTGTTAGGACTTAGGAAGTGTATGGGGCACGGTTAAGGAACAGAAGGTAAGTCTATGATCAGTGGCAGAGGCAGGGCGGTATATTGGGGTGGGCTAGTACAACGAATATTTTTGGATTTCTTTTACATGATTTTTTTACCTTAATAATTTAAACAAAATTTAAAATTGGGTTGTTGACCCCCCTTAGTTATGCCCCTGCGTATTACTAGTATATAAACTTTCTTGTTTCGAAGAGTCAAAAAATGAAGTGCTAATAACAGACGCGTTTCACTTAAATTGGCAAAAATGTTCCCGAACCGCTCTGTTTAATATTTTGAGTGTTTAATAATGTAAACGATACTTGTTATGTGCAAACAGTGAGAACAAATGTGAAGAAGTGTTTCCTCGTAATGTAAACGGTGAAAACAGACAATTGAACATGGACTTTATAAAACATAAATGAAAAACTAAAAAGTGAGCCAACAAATACCCAGGCAACTGGGATTCAGAGAAAATGGGAGTGATAGCAAAAAACATCTTGCTCATAAAGCAACTGGGAAGGGGATTGTTTATTCTCAGATTGAAGTAAGGTTGTCCTTCCATTGCAGTCCTTTCTGTTTCAGTGAATCTCCGGCCAGCGCAAAATTAGGGAGAGGTAAAGCAGTGAGAATAAAAACATGAAGAAATATTGGGGAAAGAAGAAGAGTTGGAACCAACATGGAGAAGAAGAATTCTATGAAAGAAGAATGTCAGTGGCCGCAAGAGAAGATGAACAAGAGTTTGCATATACTTTCCAAATAAGAAGGGCAAATATTTTCCAACACCTCGTTAAAAAAGTGATAAGTTTAGGTTGGGAAGGTTACGTTTAACACCGTCGAACACTTACTAACACCTCTATTTTTTTCTAATTTCTCTTCCAAACAAGTGTTAAAATCAACACATCTTAACACTTCATTACTAACACCTTTGAACACTCCAACCAAACACAACGTTAGCAGAATAAGTCGTTTTTCACATACCTTTTTGGTCAGATTGGGTGTTACCAATAACTTTTCATTTCAGAAAATTTAACATATTTCTTCACTTCAACTATATAACCTTACCTAAAGGGCTCCAAATATATAAATTGACATATAAAGCCAAACTCCAGTTTGTAATACTTAATGTTGATGTACCCAAGGCTTAAGTCTCATATGAACTTTTCTGCAATAACGGTCCATTTATAGCGATAGAACTCAGGAATGAGTTGGGCTACAAAATTGGGTCATACAACACTTGGATTAAATCGCACTAAATGATTGCATCTACGTTTTTAGCAAGTTCAACCAGTTGTATTAATTATTGACCCATCATTCTTTAAGTTTTTGGTGTAAAATTCTAACACCCTAAATACACCCCCAAATTGGTTTATAAATCAGTCGTAGGCATTAAGAGTGGAACAGAAAACGGTACAAACGAAGTGTGCCACAACCTGCTTTGATACCATAATAAAATTCGGTATAGGATTTTCTAAATTTGGTCACAAACGGTTTCATATGTCGATTCATGTTGTTGGTCACAATGGTCTAGGGCCAAACCACACTATAAATTCTATGTGTGGGCTAGTTCAACATTTCAAGTAGTGTCTTATTCACTTATCAATCTTTTTTAATTTTCCAATGCAAGACCCTTACAAGTAATTTGAACAGATATTGAAGATTCAATGACTCTGCAATCAGGATCTGATATTTGCAATGAGATAACACAATCTAGAGAGGTTCCTTGTGGTGTGAAGAAACAGAAAAGAAAAAAACTCAAATCAAGCACTTCGTCTACATCAAGGTCAACCCGCTCAATGAAAACAAAGATGAAATTACCAGAAGATGACCCGAAGCCAATGAAAATAGAAGTGGCCACATACTAATTTTTAGAGTTGAGGCTAACTTTTACGCAAATCACTTGAAAGTCTTTGAAGAGAGCAAGAGCATGAAGGTTTAGAACAAGGGGATTTTAATTTGTAAACTCTAGAGGTCTGATAAAACAGGTGGAGAAGCAAAAATCATTAACAGATGAAAAAGTCATCTTATTTTTCTTTTAGTTTTTTGTTTGTTTTGTTCTATGGTTCTTCGTTAGTTTAATATTCAGTATCGTTATATGATCAAGTATTCTGCACTATTCTGTAGAGTGATGTTGCACTATTAGTCTTAAAGTACGTGGTACCATGTAAACAACTTTGGAGTAATTGTAAATAGGCCTACCAATGACTGGATTTGCGCTGAAATACAGCATTCTAGACTCAGACGGCATACCTTTTTTTTTATTCAATATGTAACTTAATTTATAAATAAAACACACAAAAAATTGCCCCGTTCAAGAATACTAGTAAAATAATAGTACGATCATTCATGCCCCATATCACCGTAACCCCATCGCGTGTAATCCCATAAACAAATTTGAACTTTCAAATACGGGGTGAATAAAGTCATGTCTTCTACTTCAGAGAAGAAAATTGTGATCCTGAGGAGCTCTGACGGCGAGGAGTTCCAAGTCGATGAGTCCGCGGCGTTATTCCTCTTCTGAATGTCGCCGTCGGAGCTCCTCAGGATCACAACTTTGTTCTCTGAAGTAGAAGACATGACTTTATTCACTTCGTATTTGAAACTTCAAATTTGTTTATAGGATTACTCGCGATGGGGTTATGGTGATATGGGGCATGTGATTACTAGTATCCTCCTCCTTCATCGCACGAGTACAATACTAGTAAAATAATAATCATTCAAAAGCTCAAGCATTCTCCGATCTGAGCGTCGCCTCTTCTTCAGGGGTGAAATCATTCTCGATATTGAAAAACGCTCGTACCTCCTCCGGCGACATATCTTTAATGGTGTCGGCGATCCTCTGGCAAAGAATGTCCAACAGCGGCTTCGTGTCCAGGTAATTGGCCGCCATGATGAGCGTGATCACCGAATCATGTTCCTCCTCCGCCATGAATTTCTCATTGAATTCCTTCATATTGTCGACGTCCTTAGTCGTGACCAGTTCATTCCAATAACTATAACCTTCGCCAGAGTTTTGGCGTCGACATTCGGGAGAGGGATAACGTCGTCGCCGCAATCTTCTTCGATTATATTCTTTATGGCGACTGACTGAATAGCCACGGACTCATCGACTTGGAACTCCTCGCCGTCGGAGCTCCTCATGATCACAACTTTCTTCTCTGAAGTAGAAGACATGACTTTATTCACTTCGTATTTGAAACTTCAATTTTGTTTATGGTATCACTCGCGGTGGGGTTATGGTGATATGTGCCATGTGATTTTTTAGATTTGAAGAAGGCGGAGTTTCAATTCTCTCAGGATTGTATCGGGCCAATGTAAAATTTGGAAACCTAAATGGCAAAGCCGATGTAAAATATGGAAATATAAGTAATTAGCCGCCATACCTAATGGGTTTAAACAAATGTTTTATATCCGAAGTCCGAACCCAATGGTTCTCTAAATGGCTCGAATGTATAGACTTGTAGAGATTTAGATTCACATAAGTAACACTTTTTAGAGAAAAAAAAAACAAAATCAAAGTGTAAATACTAATTATGATCATATAATAGTATAATACTTCTAATAAGTTTTACTTGATAACTATTACGTAGTACTGATCTGTACTCGACCAAAAATTTGTTAGGTGCCAAACTCCGGTACTCATTTAAAAAATGGGGGTACCGTACCTACCACTCACTTGATTGGTTCAAATCATTACATCATTTTTAATTTAGATTTAAATAATTCAACTATATCATTTGATTGGTCCATGTGGACAAATATATGGTACCTTAAGGGTACCATAGAATCTACCAATTTGTTATCACACATTTTTTTGCACTATTATGATAGTATACTCTGACATATGACAAATCACCTACTCCCTCCGGATCTTTTTAAACTTCACAGTTTGACTTCACATTGATTAAAAAAATAAATTTGACTTTACGGTAGAGTATACTATCGAGACACTGTTTGTCACTGTTTGGCACTGTTGAGACACTGTTTCACACTGTTGAGACACTGTTTGGCACTGTTTAGCACTGTTTAACACTGTTTTGATGTATATTTCTTTGCCAAATAAAGAAATAAAGAAGGGTGAGGTTTATTTTGGACCGTCCCAAAAAGGAAAGTGTGAAGTTTAAAAAGATCACGAGGGAGTATAATATTTGTTCCATATATTTGTGTGTTGTGTGTACGACTGTACGTACATATACAACTTTTACTCCGTATTAAATAGGGCTTGGGAGAACTATCAAATAAGCCCATGAACTTTCATAAAAAGTGCAAATAAGTCCTTTTATAGGAGGTTCTGTCCGGTCGTCGCCATTTGGGACGGGTTCCGGTGGAATTTTTTGATGAAACTTTTTGAGTATCTTCTTCATTAAGTCTAGTTTATTCATACCAAATTTCAGATAAAAATTCAATCGGGAAGGAATTCAAATGAATTTTTGAAGATAAGTGTGCAATTAGACATCACAATATATTTCAGAAAATCATTTGACTGCTTTCTTGGTTGCAATTTGAGCTGAAATTTAGTATGAGTAAACTAGACTTAATAAAGAAGATGCTCAAAAATTTTCATCAAAAAATTCCACCGGAAACTGTCCGAAATGGCGACAGACGGACAAAGCCTCCCGTAAAATGGTTTATTTGCACTTTTTATGAAAATTCGAGGACTTATTGGATAGTTCTCCCAATAGGGCTTTAAACGGGTCTGAACTCTGAAGAGTATGTAACAACCTGAACCATTTTTTAAAATAATAAAAGAGATTTGTGTTCGATTTCAGAGTTAAATGTAGACTCATGCAAATAACGAACTTAATTCTTTGTCAATAAGCATGCAAATAAATTGTTCGAAGTACATTATTATCATCATTATCATTAATTTATTACGTAGTATAATATGTAGGGATCTTCCGCCCTCTTTCTTGGAAGTTGCCAGGAGACATATAACACCTTTTAGGAATGAGCTATCCAACAAATGAACATGGGAGACAAGGGCGGAGCCAGGATATTGGCCTGGACTGCGTCTGTACAAAGAATATTTTTGAATTTTTTTTTTACACAAAATGTTTTACATAAAAAATGCAGACATTTTTTAAATTTGGGTTGGGTCGGGACCAAGGTTGGGTCAGGGCCAGGGTTGGCCCCTCCCTAGCTACGCCCATGATGGGAGAAAATATGGAAAAGATGGCTAGGAAAATATCTTCTCCATTAGGAGAGCACTTTTATGTCCCCTAATTAATTTGAGAGCAAAATATCTACCAATACTTTCAAAAGTGGAAAAATGAGTTCTATTGTTTTTGTCCTTTGTCATAAGATGTACTTTTGTACTCATCCCAATTTATTTAGATCAAGTCAACCTTCTACATCATATTATTGATCTCTAATATGTGTAAGATGGTCCCAATAATTTATATGAGGAATAATTATAACAGAAAACCCTACTCCCATTATTTAGCCTAATAATGCCAAAGATGGGACCACATGCATTTGTATTCTTCTCCAATCACTCTATCACTTATTTATGATATTAACATTCATATAGTTGGGCTACTAACCGTGTGGGTCACCCTCCAGTGGGTCTAGAACACAATTCTTGGATAATTACAATTTTTAACAGGTTAGGTCCCAAAATAACATTTGGGCTGCCCGACCACTCTTACTTTGTACCGAGGGGTCGTATATCTTTATTTAAGAATGTTGGGCCCAATATCAATAAGATGGCCCAATTAATTATTTGGACGTTCGTTACTATTATACGAGCCCAAACAGAAATACGATTAATCATACGATACATAAAACTTTAATCGTTTTACAATTGTTCGATAATAGGGAAATTCAATACATAAGCTTTGGAATAAAATTTGAATTTCAAAGACGTTCGGGTGTGGTGTCACAATATTTGTGTCAATAATTTTTATTTTAATAATATTTTTGAAAAAATCCCTAATAATAATAACATGTAAACGCTTTACAAATTTTCAAATTTCAAGTGGAACATATATATTACCCCATCGTTCCATTATAATTGTCCAATTTTTCTATTTCCCTCCGTCTTCCACTAAATTAGTGTCATATTATACTATATTTGGTAATATTTGTATGATTCTAATTCAATCTTACTTTATTCTAACTTTATCAATTCATTATCAACCACATAATTTTATTTTTCTTAAAAACTGCACCACTCTGTTTTATCCCAATCTTAGAGGATGGAGGTAGTATTAGACTATTAGTTATTACTATATACGGAGTTTACTTGGATTGTTTTCAATCACCAGACCAGATTAGGCTTGAGCAGTTATAAAATACACATATATCATTTATTTATCAGACTAGACTAGTTCAGACCAAATTTGATTAGACAAGTCTAAAAAATACGGTACAATTAAAAGAGTGTTTGCAAAAAATTAAAAAAATGTGTTTTTCAGCTTTGGGCTCAAAAAATGTTGAAATGCGTGTTTTCAAATGACAATTTCTTCTTAAATTAAGTACTTTAAAGCTAAAAGCAGGTGGAGAGGTGTTTTAAACAACTTTTTACTTTTTCTATTGCACAGAAAAACTATTATTTTATCAAACACTACCAACTTTTAATTTTACGGAAACAACATTTTGTTCCAAAGAGTATCAACGCTTTTTCTCCAAAATCATTTAAAAAATTAAGTAACCTTTGGAAGTATGCTAGGAAACATGTGGAAATCAAAATCGAAGATTCACAGAGAAGTTCTGAATGGAATTAAATGAGGCCAGCTGCGGGGAAGTACAGTTCAACGGCGAGCAGAAATACAGAGAAGCGTGCAATTAATAAATGGATCTGCAATCAGGTGGCCACCTGGGCCCTGCTCATATCCATACGGACGGAGTACCCCGCAATTTTGAGGCGGAGACGGAGGCCGGAATTGCTGGCGCCACGCACACCGTCCGCTCATCGATCAGAAGAGATCCAAAAAGAAACCGTTCAATAGGGAAAATTTTGTATAATGCCAATTGCCAAATTGCCTATGAGGCCGGACTTATGCCTTATTTCCGTATTAGATTTTGAGCATAAGCCGAAATGAAAAATCAAATCCACCCCTACACTCATATTCATAACCTAAACGATTTTGCAATATCAAAAATATTCTTGCTACACTCTTTAGGTACACACTTTTACGTACCGTCCGTGTAGATTTTTTTCTGTCTATATAGACAAAAAAAAGTCTACACAGACAGTGTGTAAAAGTGTGTACCTCAAAAAATTTGTACCCCAAGTCCAACTATGGTTCGTCCCCTAAGGGCTTATACACTACGTGCCCGCTTGAG